AATGGGGGTGAGTACAGTAGCACAGAATTTGTAGAGTATTGTGCTGAACAGGGGATCAGAATGCTGAAGACAGTTCCAGAAACACCACAGCAAAATGGTGTTGCAGAGAGGATGAACAGAACACTGAATGAGAGGGCCAGGAGCATGAGATTGCATGCAGGACTTCCAAAGATGTTCTGGGCCGATGCGGTGAACACAGCAGCATACTTGATCAACAGAGGACCCTCATCTCCCATAGGTTTCAAAATTCCAGAAGAGGAATGGAAAGGTCGAGAGGTATCTCTTACTCACTTGAAAGTTTTTGGTTGTATTTCTTATGTCAAAGTTAGAGATGCAGATAGTGACAAGCTCGAGGCAAAGGCAAAGAAGTGTATCTTTATTGGGTACGGGATGGATGACATGGGCTACAGGTTCTGGGACAACCACAGCAAGAAGGTTATCAGAAGTAGAGATGTCACTTTCAACGAGAATGCCCTGTATAAAGATGGTCTTGCAGCAGAAACTAGCAAAGCCAAGCAACCAGAAAACAAGCAACAAGTGGTGTTTGACGGGATGACTGAAGATGACATAGCACAACCTGTTGGTTGTGATGAGACAGCTGGAGGCTCAGGGAGCAGTGGGAGCTCAGGAGATACAGGAATGTCTGAAGATAGTGGGAGTGATGAAGATGGTGAAAAGTGAAAATTCAGAGGCAGCTACTCATCAAGTCAGACAATCCACTAGAATCAGAAGACCTCCTAACAGATATTCTCCTTCAGCAAATTATATGTTGCTGACCGAGAATGGAGAGCCAGAATCTTACTCAGAGGCACTGACCATGAAAGATTCCATACAGTGGAAGAAGGCCATGGAGGATGAGTTAGATTCACTTGACAAGAACCAAACTTGGTCCTTAGTCAAGCTACCACCGGGAAAGAAAGCTTTGGAGAACAAGTGGGTGTTCAGAATCAAAGATGAAGCAGATGGAAGCAAAAGATACAAGGCGAGGTTAGTTGTCAAAGGGTTCCAACAGAAGAAGGGAGTTGATTACAATGAAATCTTCTCTCCAGTTGTGAAGATGACTACTATCAGGTTGATCCTTGGTATCGTTGCTGCTGAAAATTTGCACTTAGAGCAGCTGGATGTAAAGACTGCTTTTCTTCATGGCAACCTTGAAGAAGACATTTACATGGCTCAACCAGTAGGTTTCCCAGTGAGTGGTAAGGAGAAATTGGTGTGCAAACTCAAGAAAAGTCTATACGGACTGAAGCAAGCTCATAGACAGTGGTACTTGAAGTTTGACAGTTTTATGCAGCGGAATGGGTACACTAGATGCAAGATGGACCATTGCTGTTACTTGAAGAAATTCGAGTCTTCATACATTATTCTTCTTTTGTATGTTGATGACATGTTGGTGGCTGGAGCAAACATGCAGGAGATCAACAAGCTCAAGAAGAAGTTGTCTGAAGAATTTGAGATGAAGGATTTAGGGGAGGCGAGACAGATTCTTGGGATGAGCATAGTCAGAGACAAGGTGGAAGATACTTTAAAGCTTTCACAGCAGAAGTACATTCAGAAGGTCCTTGAGAAGTTCAGAATGACGGATGCCAAGCCAAGGAGTACACCGTTAGGGAGTCAGTTGAAACTCTCCAAGCAGCAGTCTCCGAAGACTGATGAAGACAAAGATGAGATGGCTAAAGTTCCTTATGCATCAGCAGTTGGCAGTTTGATGTATGCGATGGTGTCAACAAGGCCAGACATTGCTCATGCAGTGGGAGTTGTTAGCAGGTTTATGTTAAATCCAGGGAAGGAACATTGGGAAGGAGTCAAGTGGCTGCTACGTTACTTGAAAGGCACCTCTAGAACTACTCTTTGTTTCAGGAGGAATGGGGCAATTCTAGAAGGTTTTGCAGATGCTGATTTGGGGGGCTGTCATGATTCCGGAAAGAGCACTACGGGTTACATATTCACTATTGGAGGTACGGCAATCAGTTGGATGTCTAGATTACAGAAGAGTGTAGCTCTTTCAACCACAGAAGCAGAATATATGGCTATTGCTGAAGCGGCCAAGGAGATGATTTGGTTGAAGAACTTTCTTTCGGAGTTGGGCATGAAACAGGGGGATTGTGGTCTGTACTGTGACAACCAGAGTGCTATTCATCTCGCGAAGAATCCGGTGTTTCACAGCAGAACGAAACACATCAAGATGAGGTATCATTTCATTCGAGAATTGATTGAAGATGGTACTATAAATTTGAAGAAGATCCTTGGTACGAAGAATCCAGCAGACATGCTTACCAAGGTGGTGACAACGGAGAAGTTGAAGCTATGCATGGCTTCAACGGGCCTTCCAGATACTTGATGAGAAGGCGTGGACGAGAGAGAGAGAGAGAGAGAGAGAGAGAGAGAGAGAGAGAGAGAGAGAGAGAGAGAGAGAGAGAGAGAGAGAGAGAGAGAGAGAGAGAGAGAGAGAGAGAATCAAGGGTTTTACAGAAGGTACATGTTTTTGGATGGCAGATAATTGTTGACCAAGCCTCCAAGTGGGAGATTGTTGAAGATGGAGTCTTGTTCAGAATTTCAGAACTGATACCCTCCCGGGTCAGATGAAGGACCCGACCGGGTATGTTGAAGCAGAGACCTGGGGACTTTCTGGAATGTGAGACCCGACCGGGTCAGGTGAAGGACCCGACCGGGTCAGTTGATCTCCGAGCTTCTGTTTTGGAAACCCGACCTGGTTTCTACCGGGTTTGTGTTCTGTGAAGGAGACCCGACCGGGTCAAATAAGAGACCCGACCGGGTCAGACGACGGGATTTTTTAATTACAGGCTTAATTTTGGGCCTGCGGCTCTAATCTCAGTTTAGGTTTTCTTAAACCTATTTAAACGACTCTTATGTACTTGTAAACCCCTTGGGACGCTGATAATAATACATACTCTCTATCGTTCGCCGTGGACTAGCACAATCAACCCGATTGTGTGAACCACGTAAATTCTTGTGTTCTTGCTCGTTAATTTATCGTTTGCTTAACCTAAATCGTAACAATACATGTATTAGAGATTTAGAGTCTCATTATTTAAAAAATTTATTTTGTACAACTATTTTGCAAACTGAATTGATATGGTATTTATTCCGAGAATTATACTCTATTAATATGGTTGATATTAAAAAGTTGTTATATTCGCCGGGTATGAATATTTATGATATGAAATTTTTAAGATCTGGTTTGATTTTTTTCTGAATAACAATATTCGTAATTATTTTCAATGGAAGCAACGTACAATAATAACCTACAAAAACATTTAGATTAGATTGGAATCATCATAATAGTAAAAATAATATATTATGTTTGAACCAATTTCGCTTGAATTTTTTCTGATCTGATCTGAATTTTTTTTATTTTTGGTCTGAATGTTTATGATCTCTGATCTGAAAACGATGGGTGAACTCTGTTTTAATTCCGTTTTATTTTGTTTGTGCTTTTCTATCGAATTGCATGTTGTTTTGGACATGTTCTTATTTCCTAGCACATAGATTCTAGATTTTAAATCAAGTGATGAGAAGTCCGGTTTGCTAGTCATTGACTCAGTTAAGCCCATTACAGGATCAACGAATATTATTGCTTCTACAAAGGTAATATATTCTACGTATGGTTCGAGGGCGGACGGCAGACATAAGACTTTTTATCGCTTTGTTTACTTCTTGTTATTTGATTGTATTATCAGCCATGTGACGAACATTATTCTGATTTAATGGATTTGTTAGATTTGATGATATAAAAAAACTCAAATTTCACTATAAATTTGATATATCATTGATATATAACTCAAAATTTACAATAATTTTATATATATGCAATTTGATGTCATATGAAAGATCATAATAAAACTTTATCATTTTTGGTATACTTTTTGTAAAATTTGTGTCATATGAAATATCATAAAAAGTTATAAATTTTGATGTATTTGTTTGTAAAAATTGGAGTACAGATAAATAAGTTATAATACATTAAAATAAGACTTTCCTCCACTTTCTCAGAATGATCAATGATGCATGTAGTGTATAACAATGATGAACCGAGTCAACTTATATGAATTAGGATGTGTTTAGTTGAACTATAATTAGTTGGTCTGGCCTGGTCTGAACTGGTCTGGTAATATCTGGTCTCTTTGTATTTTTATAACTATCCAAATCTGGTCTGGTCTCTTTGGTGTCATATGAAAGATCTTAAAAAGTTGTGAATTTTGATATATGTTTTGTAAAAATTGGATCATAAATATAAAAGTTATATCACTTTAAAAAAGAGAGATTTTTTCTCCTACTATTCATCTAAATCAGCCGTAATACACAATTTTTAAGTGTGGTGGACATTGAATTAATTAATTGTTTTAATTGTAATGATAATAGAATTTACATTATCCAATAGGAAGTTGACACATCATTGTTTTCTAACTGAAGTTTACTATATAAAACCTAGGAAGCACGGAAACGTCTATCTGGGCCAAGTTTCTGTCCCGGAAACGTTTTGGAAACGCGAAACGCGTGGAAACGCCTGGAAACGGTTGCGAAACGCCCAGAAACGTTTCTGGGATCTTGGGCTTCTGGGCCGGGTTGGGAAACGTTTCGGAAACGGGGATGGTAGTGGGTTGTGGCGTTTCCGGTTAATTTCAATAAAAAAAGGTCGGTCAATTGTTGAACAATCATTCGCGTTTAGTTTTTTAAAACAAAAACCTGCTACGTTCAGAGTGTGCCTCTGTGACTATACCCTCTCAGTATTACCGCATGATGAGGACAAGGTGGTAATTCAGCAACGCATCAAACGGAGACGACAGAGGAACTCTAGGCTAAATAACTACAAAAATGATCTTTGTACCCACTCTTATACCCACATTTGTACCCACCTATGTTTGTGAAGATTTTTTTTTGTCTGTGAATCCCGGCTCACAGACAATATTTTGTTTGTGCAAAATATTGTCTGTGAATTGGGTTCTCAGACAAAAAAAAAACATTTACAAACATGGTGGGTATAAGGTGTGTATAAGAGTGGGTACAACAAGCATTGCTGAAATAACTATATTACTTAAAGTCTTCATTCTTCTAATTAATTACTTTATAGTTTCCTAGTAGTATTAATATTCCTAGTTTCTTAATTTCCGATTAGCTAGTTGAGCACCAGCAGGACTTAGTTTCCTGATTCAACTTGTTCAGTTTTTGGGTTATATATTTACCCATTAATTAATTAATAAAGAGGGAGCATATAATTTTTCAGCTTATTCAGGCTTGGTCTTCTATCACCCTGAGATAGAATCGTTCCCTTTACGCCGTGAGTAAAGGCATAAGCTTTCTTGCGTTTCAGCAGCTTCTCGTCCCAGGATTCTCATCAATTGGTATCAGAGACCTTTCAGGATGACTAATCGCGAACGTTTTGACCAGCTGGACAATTCACTCGCTCAAATCAGATCCCCCTTCAACAATCTGGCCCTAACCGTAGAATCTATGCAAAAGTGGATGGAGGAGCACATCAATTCATCGTCAAAGTCACGCAGGACAAATTCCAGATCAGTATCATCAAATCACCAACGAAAACGAAGAAGCAAACATCAGCCGTCTTCTTCATCATCGACTTCATCTTCCGAAAGTAGCAAAAATGGGAGCAGCAGTTCTGAAGACTCTCACACCCACACAGAAATACCATGGCAGGAAGAAGAGAATCAAGATCGGTTAAGAGACCGTCTCAAGCTTGACTTCCCAAAATTTGCAGGTGAGGAAGTAGTGGTCTGGTTAAATCGTGCTCGACAATACTTCTCTGTAAAGGGAATCCAAGGACCAAGAAAAGTACAATTGGCTTCATTCCATCTCGAAGGGGAAGCAAATCAATGGTGGAAGTGGTTTGATAAACGCAAAAGGAGGGGAGAAATCACCTGGAGGCAGTTTGAGAGTGGCATCCTAAAATGATTTGGACCCACTGATTTTGAAGACTATAATGAGTTGCTCAGCAAAATCAAACAAACAGGTTCCTACAGAGAATACTTGAAAGAAATCGAGAGATTATCGACTCGAGTAAAAGGGTGGACATCAAAGGCTCTACTTGGAACTTTTTTGGGTGGTCTACGGGAGGAGTTATCATTAGATATCCGACTGTTTAACCCTCGAAAGTTATCTGATGCTATGGAACTGGCTCGTCGAATAGATGAGAAACAACAACGAGGAAAGAAACAACTGGTAACCACCTTAAAACAACCCACGGGAGGGCGGTCTGCCATGAATAATTTAGCACAAATCACAACTCCCAAGACGATTGACCGCAGAAGAGATGAAAGCAAGAAGAGAAAAGAATATGTGTTATAACTGTGATGTAAAGTTCACACCTGGTCATCGATGTAAGGCTCTTCAATTTATGCTGGAAGTCCAAGAAGGAGAATATATGGAGATGCCAAAGAATAATGACACAAGTGAAGAAGAAATTTCTGTATCGGTGCATGCACTAGCAGGAGGTATGGATTCCAGAACCATGCATGTATCAGGCAATGTGCAGCAACACAAGCTTAATATTTTAATTGATTCGGGATCAACACACAATTTCATTAACCAGGAAGCGGCAGGTCGGCTCAAGTTAACGGTCACCAAAATTAAACCATTTACAGCCCGGATAGCTAATGGTGATCGTCTTTGGTGTTCTGAAAAATATGAACACGTCCAGATTACCATCCAAGGGTACACTTTCGAAACTACTCTATATGGCCTTCCAATTACCGGTATGGATGTGATCCTGGGGATGCAGTGGCTTAAAAGTTTGGGAAAAATATTATCAGATTATAATGATCTGACAATGGAGTTCACAATTTCTGGGGTAACACATGCCATCCGTGCAGAAGCACCATTATTAGCAAAAGAAGTTCACCTAAATTGCATCATAAGTGATTGGGAAGTTGGGGCTGAATTGTTTGCCTTTTTTATTCCTATACAACCAGCTGAAGAAGTGGTCACTATAGCTGCAGAAAATCCGGAAGTCCAGAATGTGATAGATGGGTACGCCTCATTGTTCAAAGAGCCCCGCTCACTACCACCGCGTAGGAAATTTGATCATCGAATCAAACTGAAGGATGAACGTTGCACCGTTAATGTAGCCCCTTATCGTTATGCCCACTTCCAAAAAGCCGAGATTGAGCGACAAGTCACAGAGATGCTACAGGTTGGGCTGATCCAACCAAGTACAAGCCCCTTTTCTTCACCAGTTTTGCTTGTAAGGAAAAAAGACGGAACTTGGAGGTTTTGTACTGACTATCGGGCACTCAATAAGGAAACTGCTAAGGACAGATTTCCGATTCCGACTATTGATGATATGCTTGATGAATTACATGGTGCCAATTATTTCTCAAACCTAGATGTGTGGGCAGGTTATCATCAGATCCGTGTTCATCCCGATGACATACACAAGACTGCTTTCCGAACACATAATGGCCATTATGAGTACTTAGGGTCTGTTTGCAACAGCTTCTGCTTTTAAAAAAGTGTTTTTTTAAATGAAACGAGGAAAAGTGATTAAATAAAAGTTAATAGTGTTTGAGAAAAAAGTGATTTTGAAAAGTAAAAGTGGGTAGTGTTTGGTAAAATAAGTGCTTTTTGTGTAATAGAAAAAGTAAAAGCACTTTTGACGCGGAAGCCGAGAAAAATTAAAGTTGTAGTGTTTGGAAAAATAAGTGTTTTTTTAAAGTCAAAAGCTGAGAAGTGCTTTTTTAAAAGCAGTTGCAAACCAACCCTTAGTCATGCCATTTGGACTTTGTAACGCTCCATCAACCTTTCAGGCTGCCATGAATGAAATTTTCAGATCGTATTTGCGTGGATTTATCTTGGTTTTCTTTGATGACATTCTCATTTATAGTAAAACATGGGCTGCTCACCTTGATCATCTTCGAAGGACCCTGCAGATTCTCCAGGAGCACCGTTTTCACATAAAACCAAGTAAATGTTTCTTTGCGCTCACAGAGGTTGAATACTTAGGCCATTACATATCTAATGAGGGTGTACGAGTAGATCCTCGAAAAATTGAGGCCATGTGTCAGTGGCCGAGACCAACTTCCATCAATGCCTTGCGCGAATTTGTAGGATTAACTGGCTACTATCGCAAATTTGTGCGTGAATATGGATTGATAGCTCGACCGCTAACTCAACTTCTAAAGAAAGGACAGTTTTCCTGGAGCTCAGAAGCTACATTAGCTTTTGAAAATCTTAAAAAGGCAGTCTCCACAACTCCAGTACTAGCTCTACCGGATTTTACAAAGGAATTCTGCATCGAGACAGATGCGTCGGGACAAGGAATAGGAGCAGTTTTGTCACAAGGAAGGTGGCCCATAGCATTCATGAGTAAGGCGTTGGGACCAACAAAACAAGCATGGTCCACTTATGCCAAAGAGATGTTGGCAGTCCTTGAAGCCGTTCGAATATGGAGGACGTATCTTTTGGGACGTCGATTTATCATATATACTGATCAAAAGAGTCTTCGACATCTCATTGAGCAACGTATCACGACCCCTGAACAACAAAAGTGGATAGCTAAGCTCCTGGGATTTGATTACGAAATCATATATAAACCTGGAGCCACCAATAAAGTGGCAGATGCCTTGTCTCGACGGGAGCATCTTGAAAAAGGGGCCGAACTTACAGCTATCTCAGGACCCTTGTGGGAGGTTTGGAATGAAATACGAACACTAACTCAAGAAGACACTCGCTTGCAAGAAATTCATTCCAAAATATTAAACAAAGAGGCTGAAGTGGCAGATTATGAATTTCGGAATGGGTGCATTTTATTCCAAGGGAAGGTTCTCATACCAGGAAATCAGTCCTTAAGAAAGAAGCTAATACATGAATTTCATAACACCCCGGCAGGAGGACACTCAGGAATGTTACGAACTTTTAATCGCCTAAATCAAATTTTTACATGGCCAGGCATGCGAGGAGCAGTTTCTCAATATGTCCGCGAGTGTGAAGTATGTCAACGCACCAAGATCAACTCTCTTGCACCTGGAGGTCTACTGTCCCCATTACCGATTCCTACAGCGGTTTGGGCAGATGTTACTATGGATTTCATAGAAGGATTGCCAACGTCAGGAGGTAAAAACTCAATTTTTGTCATTGTTGACTGATTTACAAAATATGCCCATTTTGCTGCTTTAGCGCACCCGTTTACAGCAAAAGATGTAGCTGCCACATTCATACAGGAGGTCGTTAGATTTCATGTATCACTCCTTAAAAGGCATGTGGGACCAACAACATCAATAACAACATTACCGCCTAATTCAGAAGATGGGGAACCCGTTTTTGAACCAGAAAACATTCTCAATTTTCGAGATGTCCGTACTAAGTCTGGAAAGAATTGTTTCGATTGCAAGGCACAATGTTAAAAACAAGTTCGGCCTATCACCCTGAGACCGACGGACAAACAGAAGTTGTCAATCGGTGTTTGGCTCAATATTTACGTTGCTTCGCTCACCAAGTCCCTCGAAAGTGGAGTGGACTCCTCGTGTGGGCAGAATTCTGGTATAATACAACCTACCATAGTTCCATAAAAATGACCCCGTTTGAAGCGTTATACGGAAGACCTCCACCAATTAGGGCTGGGCACGGGCCGGGTCGGGGCGGGTAATGCAAAATAAAATGGAACCGCCGGTTCCATTGTACGGTCCGGTCCGGTCCGGGTATTGCAATTTTCAAAATAGGAACCGCACCTTACCCGGCCCGTTTAAAACGGGTCGGTCCGGTCCGGGTTTTACGGTTTCTATTCTCCTGTCTTAAAATTAGTAAAAACTCACAAAGTTCCAAAAATCAATAATCAATAATGTAGTACATTAGCAAGCTTCAAAATAACAACATAGTGGTGCACATGTAACACAAGTGACAAGTCCAATACTCCATAATTTCATGTATATAAGTTTCAAATAATTAAAGAAGTTCCAAAAATCAGCAACATAGCCAAAATACATATTTTCTAACATTTGAAGTTAAAAATGTTGTCTAACATCACATATTAAGGTGATTGTGTTTTTTTTATTAAATTTTCAGTATTAACCAAAGTTAACACATATATACATGAGGGTTGTAATCACAATTTATATTTTAAGAACAATATTATAAAAACAAATATAACAAAATCATTTTTAACAAATAATTAAATTCCATAGAAAGGAATAATTCAATAACGATAAAAAGTAATAAGAAATTTATGTAAAATTTAATCAATAATTTGAAAGCAAAATGATGTTATTGTAACTCAATTTGAAATCCTACTTCTAGCAAAGGAAAACAAAACTATTTCAAAACCGATTATCACAAAACTATTAATAAATTAATATACAATATATATAACGGGCCGGGCCGGGTACCCGGTATTTTTTTATTTTGGAACCGGCCCGGGTCCTTAAAAAAAATTACCCGGACCTACCCGGACCGTTTTATGGCAACAAAAAATGGAACCGGCGGGTTTTGGACCCGGACCGCCATTACCCGGACCGGACCGCCATTACCCGGACCGGACCGCGGTTCCAAGACCCGTTTGCCCACCCCTACCACCAATACTTCGGTCATATAACATAGGACAGTCACCAATATCTGAGGTCGATAAACAATTGCGGACCAGGGATGAGATAATACACATACTACAAGAAAATTTGGTAATGGCTGCCAACCGAATGAAACAACTGGCAGACACGGGCAGACGTGAAGTGCATTTTGCTGTTGGCGACCTTGTTTATTTAAAGCTTCGTCCGTTTCGCCAACATTCTGTTTTTCGTAGGGCAAACCAAAAGCTAGCGTGCAAGTTCTTCGGGCCATAAAAAATCTTGGAAAAAATAGGAGATGTCGCTTACAAGCTTGAATTGCTAGAAAGTGCTCGTATTCATCCTGTATTTCATGTATCACTCCTTAAAAGGCATGTGGGACCAACAACATCAATAACAACATTACCGCCTAATTCAGAAGATGGGGAACCCGTTTTTGAACCAGAAAACATTCTCAATTTTCGAGATGTCCGTACTAAGTCTGGAATTGTGCGTGAAGCCTTGGTGAAATGGGCCTTTCTAGACCATAATGATGCCACTTGGGAACCAGTAGAGATAATAAAGAGCCAGTTTCCTAATTTCTACCTTGAGGACAAGGTTCGAGTTCGAGAAGGGGGCAATAAGCAATCCCACTCAAATGAATGAAGTGAGTAACGAATATAACTCTCAGATTGATATTGCTGAGTCCATTTATAATTCTATGAAGTTACAAATAGATCCAACTACTATCACTAATAATGAAAATGAGAGTGTTACTGACAGTTCCAGTAATGAGTCCATTGTTTATGGTGAAAGCTGCAATAGGAGCGAAGTCGAGAGTTCGAGTAGACAAATTAACGTAGAGGAACTCTAGGCTAAATAACTATATTACTTAAAGTCTTCATTCTTCTAATTAATTACTTTATACTACGTAGTTTCCTAATAGTATTAATATTCCTAGTTTCTTTATTTCCGATTAGCTAGTTGAGCACCAGCAGGACTTAGTTTCCTGATTCAACTAGTTCTGTTTTTGGGTTATATATATACCCATTCATTAATTAATAAAGAGGGGAGCATATAATTTTTCAGCTTATTCAGGCTTGGTCTTCTATCACCCTGAGATAGAATCGGTCCCTTTACGCCGTGAGTAAAGGCATAAGCTTTCTTGCGTTTCAGCAGCTTCTCGTCCCAGGATTCTCATCACCGCAGTACCAGTCGACGGCTTGGGTACTGCTTCTAATACCAGGTGACGGCTTGTTGAAGACTGAAGCAACGGTTACCCGCTGGACTTGGTGACTCTTCGAATTGGCTGGAAGGGAGACTTGGCCGAAGAAGGGAGACGCTTGCTGCTTCACTAGTTCACTTCTTCTCTGGACGGGAGGGGTTCTTTATTTAAATACGGAGTAGTATTGTTTGGAGTAAGTCTTCCTATATTTATCATTAACTATGGAAACAGGTAGTGGTTCTAGTGATAATGCAAGTGGGTCAGCCAAGAAACATTTACTTATTCTACTCCGTATTTTATTACTCCGAATTATGCATTTATTTATAATGGATTATAACAAGGATTATGTTTTGTTTGATTATTTCGTATTTGTTGGACATAAACATTACCTATACTAATAAATTTTAAATTTTTAGTTCGACGTTTCCTTGTCGTACACGTATCTTGATATTTTGAGTTCAGAGTTTCCCCGTCCCCGTTTCCGTCCCCATTTCCGTTTCCGTTTCCGTCCTGGTGCTACTTAGTATAAAACTATAGATTGAAAACCATTACGAGAAAGCTTATTCACACCAGTTCGATTTTGAACTACAGAAGAACATCAATTCTGCCATAGAGAGTTACAAGTATGGTTATATTTGCGTTCGGATGAATGATATTTTTTATATGATTGTTGAAGAAAATAAAGTTCCTTCTTATTGATTTGGTATTTTTCTGTACAATTAATGCTTATGCCCTTGTATTTGTAGTTTAATTTTTGTGTTGTTAGGTTCTCTATCGTCACCTTAGAGGCAAATGTATGAGGTTCACGTATCTGATTATGTTAATGTTGTTTCAAATGTTTATTTGCTTATATGTATGTAAGGTGTTAGAGACTATATAACCTTTTGATCCGTTTTTGACGAACAAGTTTTCCGTACAATTCCGTACAAGTGGGCCATACGGATTCTGTACAGTTGGGCCGTACGGATTTCTTTTTTTCAGACGAGCCTCCTAGTTGGATTAGGGGTAGGTTTTACTCTCTATAAATACAAGCTCTCTCCCATTGTTAATCTCGTGGATCTGAAAATAGCAATAATATTCTTGGCTTGGTAGCGCCCCCAGACATAGTGTAACACCGGACTCGAATTTTACCCAGATAAATTTTTTTCGCAAAGTACTTGGTTAAAGAAGGTAAATCAAGACTAAGAGTAGTCTCGATAAATGAGAAAGTAAAATTTTGTCCTAAATTAATAAAGGGTTATTAATTTAGACGTGGGACCACACGTGGTATTTCAAGTTTATAAAATATTATTGTTTTCCAAAACGATACTATTATGATAGTAGGTATGGGTCGTGGACCCTAGTGATATAAAGAATGACAAATTGACGGCCAAGCGGGCCGGAGTCACTGATCGATAATTGTGCGTCCTTAATTATCGGACTAGTAATAATTCGGAAGGCTACGAATTAATTACAGGAAGAATATAAACATTTTAAGAACCCCAAATAATGGGATGAATAATATTGATTAATTTGACCTATTAAAGGAGGGTATTTCGGAGGACCCTATCCTGAAGATTTTTTTTGTATAAGATTAAACAGATAAGATGTTATCTGTTCATACATTTCGGACCACTTAAAAAGAAGTGTAACATTTTATTAAAGTGTCAAAAAAATATGAAACCACATATTTAGTCATGAGAAATGATGAATGAATTTTCGAGGAAACACGTTCTCATTTTTACTGTTACTTGAACAGTAAAATGCACGTTGGGCCCACACATGGGCGGGGACCATCCGATATTTACAGACCACATATTATATTCATCTTGGTTTAGATAATATTTATATGATGGTGTAAATTAAGTTTGAGACATAAAGTTGGCCTTTCAATTTAAACGAGGTCGCATTATTGGTATAGGTAATTTAGCAGATAACAGCCCGAAATAAATTTCGGGGACCACTAAATTTAAGTTGGGTAATATATATTCATTTTAGAGGCCAATATTAATTGGAAGAATGATATATATTTTACTTATCCCAATAAAATTAAAATATAATTAAAACAATCCAGAAAATACAACTTTCGGGGCCGAATGTACACTTCGGGACATATTGGGATGACCTCCCACATGAGTGGGGGCCACCCCACGTTTTTGAGTCTAAAAAATAAGTGATGATATTATGAGAGTGAGGTGTGTGATGTGTGAGGGGATGGGAGAGACACACATGATAGGTAAAGGGACCCTCCCATTATTATGGCATGTAAGACCAAATAGGAAGGTCTCCTCCACCTCCCCCTACCCACTTCGGCCATACCACCCAAAATAGAGAGAGGAAGTCTCCAACATCTCATCCTCCATAGCTACAACCGAGCTCAAGGTTGAAGAAGGCTCAAGGAAGAAGAAAAGCTTGGAAAAGGAGAGAAAAACTTAGTAAAATTAAGGTAATGATCTCATTAATATTTTTCATCCTTCATTTAATCTCATATGATTTTATAAATCATATGATAGACTCTTAATCTTGTTCTACACTTTTAGAGGTGTAGAATGAGGGTTTGGAAGGTTAAGTTTAACCATGAACGGAGTTATGACCGGAGTAAGACCGGTTCACCGGAAAACACCTTCTTGGAAGGTTTTGACGTTTATACCACTTTTGGTTGTGAAACCTTGTTAGGAATTTTACCAAGGTATTCTAGACTTCTCAAGGAATCTAGGAGTGGCCGGAAAGTCGCCGGAGCCGCCGGAGTTTTCGCCGGAAAATTCAAAAGTCGCCGGAGTTCAAACAAAGAAGATAAAAGCTTGCTAGCGTCATTTCAAGGTGAGTGGACGACTACGTGTCTTGTAACTCTTGGTTCAAACGTGAGATTACCTAAATAAAATCATAACTATGATTTGAGGAATGATTAAATGTATTAAAATGCATGATTAGTCATGGTGAACATGATTAATGAAAATAGATTAATTTATTAATTAATCATGAGTATATTTTTCTTAAATGAATAAGAAGGTATACTTGGACTATGTATGAGACTAACTAGAGTAATCTAGTGAATGAATACATGAACATATATGTGAACTTGTGATTATCCATATTAAATATGGATTATGGAAGTATTATATGATTAATGAAAATTAGATTGATTTATTAATTAATCATGAGTATATATTTCTTAAATGTATAAGAAGATATACTTGGACTATGCATGTGACTAACTAGAGTGATTAGCCATATTAATATATAAAAAGATATGTGACATTGTGATTAGCCATATTAATTATGGTTTATGGAAATATGACATAATTAATGATTAATTAATTAATGGTATGAATAAAAGGTTTTAAGAGAGGATCATGAGTCATGCTAAGGGATTAGGCATGAGATCACTCAAAAGAGGCAGAATGATATTACATTGAATGATCAAATGCATCTAAGAATGTATTGTGACAAGATTACTTATTAATAGTATTAATAAGTATACTTAATATGCTTTAATTTGGACAGAAAATGATTATAAATTATGTGTGATGATTTGGACGTCCAAAATGATATTTTTGGACTAAGAATGACTTGTTGCATAAGCGTATAAAATTTCGTGGAAATCGGACCCCGTTTGGATGGTCAAACGGGCGTTGACCAAAATGTTGACCGGTTGCCCAGGGGGTAACCGGCGCCGGTTATAGGCAAAACCGGCGCCGGTTATGGTTCGGTTTACTAAGAAAAATCAGTAAACCGGCGCCGGTTATGGGTAAAACCGGCGCCGGTTATGGGTAAAACCGGCGCCGGTTATGTCGCGGCTTTCAGGACTGATTTTTGCTAAAAACCCAAATCGGACCCGGTTCGACGTGGGATTACTTCTGGCCATCCTATATATGAATATTTTGCATGGAATTGCATAAAATATGATGTTTAAAGTGATAAGGCTTGGAATACGGTTTAAACGCTAAGACTTGGACTAGTCGTTAATAAAGAAATTATAGACCACGACCAGGCGAGGTACGTGGTAGATTATACATGGCGGGTGAATACCCGGGACCAAGTAAGGTTATATAATACTCTGTAGGACCAGGAGGAGTCCTCTACACTCAAACGTTAACAAGGGCCCGTGTAGTCCTTGAGGTGTGTTAACCTCCAGCAAATTACACATAGGTAACAAGGGCAAATGCAGTCCTTGAGGTGTGGTATCCTCCATCAAATTGCATATAGGTAACAAGGGCCCGTGTAGTCCTTGAGGTGTGTTAACCTCCAGCAAATTACACATAGGTAACAAGGGCAAATGCAGTCCTTGAGGTGTGGTATCCTCCATCAAATTGCATATAGGTAACAAGGGCCCGTGTAGTCCTTGAGGTGTGTTAACCTCCAGCAAATTACACATAGGTAACAAGGGCAAATGCAGTCCTTGAGGTGTGGTATCCTCCATCAAATTGCATATAGGTAACAAGGGCCCGTGTAGTCCTTGAGGTGTGGTATCCTCCAGCAAATTACACATAGGTAACAAGGGCAAATGCAGTCCTTGAGGTGTGGTATCCTCCATCAAATTGCATATAGGTAACAAGGGCCCGTGTAGTCCTTGAGGTGTGTTAACCTCCATTAATTTACACATAGGATGAGGGTGTATGCGTACTCCTCAAGGCGGGGTTAACCCGGAAATGAAAACTATGATAGTAAGGACGGATAGTCCTCGAGGTAGGTGAACCTCAAGGTAATGATTTTAAATGATTAAACGTGCTTGATCGGGAACGAGTTTCCGATAGGATATTTTCCTTGGTCTAGGAATTGATTTAAACCATGTTCGTGATATGGGAGTCCGAAGGCCCCCCACAGTTAAGGATGGCAATGGGGGCGGGGACCCATGGGGAACCGCCCCGCGGGGGAAGGATGGGGCGGGGCTTGGGGCGGGGTGGGGACGGGGATGGGTGAGATATTTTTACGCCGTTAAAATATGGGGCGGGGGACGGGTATTGCTACACCCGCCCCATCCCCGCCCCGTCCCCGTTATAAATATAGTCACATATATAAATAATGTAAACACATATTAACAAATGTATAAATATACACATATATAAATAATGTACACACATATTAAATTAAATTATATGTAGTGTATAACAAACACATATACATATAGACATACATAATTGTATAAGGTTTCATCATGGTTAATGATTAATACATACGGAGTATTATACTAGAATAATAATAAACTAGTAATGATTGAAACTATTTATCATAAATGTTACACGAGTTTTAAGAGTGAGAAAGTGAGTCAATAAATACACACACATTTATATGTAATATAATATGCAATTAATTGTATAATAGTTGTTGAAAGTTTTGAAACAACGTACATGATGATAATATATTTATACTTTAATTATCTTCAATTCACAAAACTTATTCAAAAGGAAGAATTATTAAAATTGACGATATTAACTTTTAACAA